AACCCCGTCTCTACTAAAAATGCAAAATTAGCTGAGCGTGCTGAAGTATGCCTGTAATCCCAGCTACTTGGGAGGCTGAGGTAGGAGAATTGCTTGAACCTGGGAGGCGGAGGTTGCAGTGAGTTGAGATCACACCATTGCACCCCAGCCTGGGCAACAAGAGCAAAACTCTGTCTCAAAAAACAAAAAAGATAGATGTTGGCTTGGTGAATAATGCTGCTGCAAACATGGGTCTACAAATGTGTCTTCAAGACCCTGCTTTCAGTTCTTTGGGGTATACACTCCTACGTGGAATTGGTAGATCATATGGTAATTCTGTTTGTAAGTTTTTGAGGAGTTGCCATACTGTTTACTATAGCAGCTATACTATTTTATATTCCAATCAAAAGTGTACAAAGCTTCCAGTTTCTCCACGTCTTCACGAATGCTTGTTATAATGTGTGGTGTTTTCTTTTGATAGTAGCCATCCTAATGGGTATGAAGTGGTATCTGTCTCATGGTGGTTCTGATTTGCATTTCCATAATTAGTGATATTGAGCATATTTTTATGTGCATATTGACTATTTGTATATCTTTTACTTTTTGCTTGTTTCTTTTCTTTTCTTTTTTTTTTTTTTAGATAGGGTCTCATTCTGCTGCCCAAGCTATAGTGCAGTGGTGCAATCTTGGCTCATGGCAACCTTTATCTCCTAGGCGATCTTCTCACCTCAACCTCCCGAGTGTCTGGGACTACAGGTACATGCCACTATGCTTGGCTAATTTTAGTATTTTTTGTAGAGGCAGGGTTTTGCCATGTAGCCCAGACTGGTCTCTAACTCCTGGGCTCAAGCAATCCACCCACCTCAGCCTCCCAAAGTGCTGAGATTACAGATGTGAACCACCACACCAGGCCCTCGTTCGTAGATCTTCTTTGGAGAAACATCTGTACAAGTCTTTCACCCATTTTTGAGTCAGGTTGTTTGTTTCTTTTGTTGAGTTGTTAGAGTTTTTTATATATTCCAAATATTAATCCCTTATATAAGGGGTTATATAACCCTATATTATATTATGACCCAATTATGTATTTATATATATTTTCCAAATATTAACCTTATATCAGGGGTTAATATTTGGCAAATATATATAAATACAGTAGCTTTTGTCTCGTTGTCTATCTGCTGCCATGTCCTGGCTCCTGAGCCACTTGGATGCTGTAGTCTCATCAGCCTTGCCCTTACATAAGGTTAATTAACCCCTTATATAAGTTTAATATTTGGAAAATATATATACATATATAATTGGGTCCTAATATAAATTTGGAATATATATAAATATATAATTGGGTCATAATATAAATATGACCCAATATTGTCTTTTCACAATTGGTCTGTTTGAAACAGCATCCGACAAAGTCATACTATATTAGTACATTTGATTGTTATGACCCAAGTCCTGTCTAATCTAGAGGAAATTCCTATCCCTAATTTTCTCCCTGCACATTGTCTTGTGGCAGAATACAGGTCCATCATCATGCAGAATCGTAGTTTTGAATTTCAACTTTGCTGCTGCCCTCCAAAGTTTCTTGCTTTGCCTTTGATAATTTTAGCAGTAGATTTTCTGTGGGTAACACCCCCTAGGGGCACTGAGGAAGGAGAACTGTGCAAGCCCCAGGCATAGTTAGTGCCTGAAGCATAACTCACTGCTTGCTATATCTAGCTTATATATATGTATAATCATACTTAGTCCCATATAATATTTCTATATAATCATATAGGTATGTAGTCAGAGCTGTACTGACACATTTAGTGCTGATTTACATAATCCTTCTATATAACCATATAGTAGTTTGTAGTGGGAGGAATGCCTAGAGCAGTCACAGAACAGAAGCAGTACATGGGAAAACAGCCAGACCAGGACAAGAACCAAAGACCCAGGCGGTGGCGTCCCTGCCTAAAAGGACATATGCTGTATGGCGGGCTTGGAGCAAGAGCCTCTCCTCCTGAGAAAGGAGTTGTAGTGCCTTGCATCCAGTTCCTGTGGAAAGTAGGCCTCAGGCCTGAGATCCTGGAAGTAACCGAGGGAGAGTAACCCCTCTGGTGTGACCAGTCATGGAGGCTGTACACCCTGTCAGTCTTTTCTCACTTCTGTGCTAGCTCAAATCATCTGTCCATAAATATCTTAAGAGAGGAGCACAAGTCTGTCAGCTCCCACTGCATTGGCTTACAGTATCCTTCTATTAGAAATCCTTTGAAGTCTCCAGCCCCCAGATAAGAAGTGTTACGCACGACACCTGTTGCACACAGCCCACCTCCTTGCCTCAGTGACCTAATGGGGGTGGACCCCTTTTCTGTACACAACCCTCTACTACTGCACATGGCACAGCCCCCTACTGTGCATGGCCCACCTCTCTGCCTAGGTGACATAATGGGGTGGCCCCTCACTTGAGACTCATGTGATTATGTATGCCCTATTACTAAGCCTATAGATGATGACCTCACTGACGACCCTGCCCCCTGCTTGTACCTAAGAAATACAGACGCTTCTGGGCATTCAGAGCTCTCACTGATCTCCACTCACAGGTTGCGTGGCCCCCCGAGTCCAGCTGCTCGTCACCAGTTCCTCAGTGTCCTGTCTCTTTACTTCCTGGATCCTGCACCTCAGCACAGCATAAGGGACACCCCACGACCCTGTGGAGCCCAAGAGCCCTACAATTTTCCTTATTGAAAAAGGAAAGTTTCTCTTAAATGCTCCTAGGGGACTAAAACTGAAAATGAAAAGAGGAAGCTTTATCTACATTTGGGAGCCCAGCTAATGGGAAGGCAGACACTGGAGACAGGGAGGTGTGAGGAGTGTGAGGCTCAGATGGGGTGGGGAGAGCGCATTTGGGTCAACAGCCCGGCCTGAGAGAAGAGATGCTTATCCCACAAGGGGACCAGCCCAAGACTGTGTCCCTAGCCATGGGCAGCACAGGACAGATCCCGGGGGCACTGCCAGGGCCACAGTGTGGCTCTGTTCCCCAGGGGATGCTAGAGAGAAAGCTTCAGCCTCAGGGGTTCTCTGAGTACACAGGGCCTTCCCAGGAGTCCCTGAGGGCACAGGGGCAGGCTGGGGAGACTACAGCATCCAGGTGGCTCAGAGCCAGGACATGGCAGCAGATAGACCACTGAGACAAAAGCTACTGTCACTGACAATGTCTGAGCACTCTAAAATGTCACTAGAGTTTCTGGGATTCTTATGGGTGAGTTTTTTTCTTTATATTTTCCAAATTTTCTTGAACAGTGATAAAGCAATACATTTTCTTTAAAAATAGATCAGTACCTTTAGGAGTAACATAGATATGCCCAAAGAAGATCATTAGGAATGACAGCACAATGCTCAGTGGCTGGAGTGCGGGGTCCTCCAGACTCTCTCTGGAGCCTGGATCAGCCCCTACTCAAAGACTGGGCCAGGACCCAGGAGCATGGCACAACCCAGAAAACATCAAACATGGCCGGAGGAAGGCAGTCTCCTGAATGTCTGTAGCTGAGGTCAGTATTCCTGGTTCTGCGTGCAGTGCTGCTGAGGACTGAACCAATGAGGAGGAGGCCTAGCTTTCAGGAAGCCCCTGCCAAATACACTGGAACCCACCCAGTAGACCACATTCTCTTACCCACATTACTGTTTCCAGACCTCTTCCACTCACACACACAAACGTTCCCAAGGTCGAATATTCTTTATTATAAACCAGGATACAGGATATATTCCAGGATACAGGAAGAATAGCAAATATAGGCTCTTCTCAGATATCTTTGAAATTATTATAATGCATACAAAACATGTAGAAGATACTTCTAGAGATCGCTTTAAAAGGCCCAATATTAAAGGGGGACAGGTGCACGGCAGCTAAACGCTTCAACAAGATCATGCAGAGTGGCCTCCTGTCCCTCCCAAGATCCTGAGAAAAGGCACCTTGCTCCAGCCTGGCTGGAAGTGGAGCAGAGATGCATTTTCTATTTGATTTAGGGTCCTAAGGTCTGCCCTGGGGCACAGACACCTAAGACTATGATACCTTCTCCCCAAAGGAGAGTTTGAGGGTAATATACAAATCGCTTTGGGGGGTTGAGAGAGAAAGACGACAGCTGTGTCTGTAGTTTATTGTTCTGTGAGTTTAAGCATCTCTCCTCCTCTCTCTCTGCTTCATTAAAGGTATAAATACTGGTACACTGGGTCCTTTCCAGAGTTTGGTCTCACTGAGTAGGAACACAAGAGAAAAGGAATATAAGAGTGCCCCATTTTTGTTCAGGGACATGGTTAGGCTCCCTCAATGGTGGGACTTTCCCACCTCGCTGTTCCTGGGACCTGTACCTAGAGAAACGTGTATGTGCAGGTGCCTGTGTGTGTGAGAGTATGTATCTGTACATACATGTGTGTGTCGGTGTGTGAGTTTGTATGTGCCCATGTACCCACAAGCTTTGGGACAGGCGGTTTTGTATGATCGCTGTTTGTAAACAAACAACTTTGTAAGGCAATCAAGGTACGAAGTTGGTGGGAAAGCTCTCTGTGGATGGTGCAGTGGGGAAGGCTCCCTGCTCACATCATTACAGTGACTCATCCCCAGAACTCATACTTGATGGATATGCCAGAGGCCAGGATCCCTTCTCATGCCAGGTGTAGCTGAGGGCATGACCACAGGCATCTTGCCAGGTAGAAATGAAAAGCAGCTCGGGCTGCTCAGGCCAGTCTCTCGAGGACTTGCCACTGCTCAAAGTTGGGCAGAAGCTGGGACGTGTCAAAGATGCAGATAAAGAGGTAGACTCATTAGGAAATAAGCTTCAAGGTCGGATCCCTTTGTGCTGGGCCAACCTGCTTCCCCACCTGCCCTGTGAGGAAGGAGGAAGTGGAACAGGAGGCGAGCAAAGAGGCACTGAAGCATCAGTAGGCATCATTGTGGAAGCAGCTGCCCCGGCAGTGTCATGGTCCCAGCAGCGGCCAGCAGGTAGTCTAGCAGCAGCCAGCTCTCCCTCAG